GGAATTTCAGTCTATACCGGCACCATAATATCAGATTGGGGGGGAAGATCAGAATTAGAGATTGATAGAAAATCAAGGATATGGGCTCGCGTGAGTAGGAAACAAAAAATATCTATTCTAGTTTTATCATCAGCTATGGGTTCGAATCTAAGAGAAATTCTAGCCCATGTTTATTATCCTGAATTTTTTTTGTCTTTTCTGAATGATAAGGAGAGAAAAAAAAAATTGGATCAAAAGAAAATGCCATTTTGGAGTTTATCAACAATTGAGTGGATTAAAGCGTCGGATTGCTAATCCGGTGTACAAGTTATTTGTACTGAGGGTTCGAATCCCTCTCTTTCCGTTTCCGTTGATGACTTGATTTATTTATTTATATATACCAAATAATTTGATATATTTCGTACACATTTACAAAGAAGCATCGACCATCTCCAATTTTTTTTTAATTAATATCAAGTAAAATGCTTAGCACTGCGAAAAAAATATATATTTAGATATCATTTCTTACCATAAGCGGGATATTGTATCAATATATTGTACTAAATAATTTTATTTCATACTTTATCAATTAAATACAAAATCGAGACACACATTTTTTATAGATAAAAATAAAAAAAGACCTAAATAACAATTATTAAAAATTAATTAAATAGAAATTGAAATTAACACGATTATTTTGGAACAAATATATAGAAAATTATAATTGAATAAATCAACCGGCATTTATACTATATGTGTAATTAAGATATCTTAAAAATTTAAGTTTTATGGTCTAATTATTTCTTTGATTGTCCAAGTTTTGAACAATTAAATATAAAAAAATGAATAACATTTATTAAATAATATTCAAATAAAAGCTGTCATTACCAAAAAAATTCAGAATATATTTTTGCAAATCACATAATTGATTATTGTTTTCAATATTTTCATAATTGTAGTAATTATTTGCAGATTGAATAAATCAGTTGGGTTTAGTTAATTTGTGATTAATGTATATTAAAAGTACATTTCACACGAAAACACTTATTAAATAATAATTAAGTTACAGCCAAGTGGTAAAGCGGTTCAGGGACAACTGCCGGGGCAGCCGGCCAGATCTTCAGCGCAAGTTTCAATTCCATCAGCTCCTGTAGCAGCTCAATTGCCCCCTCCTGTCAAGGTGGATGATCCTGTTGTTGATCAGTTAAAGAAAACCCCTGCTCGGGTTAGTATATGGCAGTTATTGATGGTCAGTTGGGTTTAGTTAATTTGTGATTAATGTATATTAAAAGTACATTTCACACGAAAATACTTATTAAATAATAATTAAGTTACATTTAGCTGGAAATTTCTTAGCAAATCACATTACTAATATTGCATCTGAAATTCCTATATTTGGGTAAATCATCCGAAGTCACATGATTTGAAGTAATTATCATAAAAATGAATTTTTTTATGTCTTGATTAGTTCTATAAATAATGAGCCCCAATACCATAAGTGATTACTTGAAATATACCATAAATTATTAAAATTGTTTCTTTAAATAATGAGCCGTAATTCCATAAGTGATTACTTGAAATATACCATAAATTATAAATTAATTTCCCGTAATAGTAAATAGATTTCATTTGGAGGGAAATATTCACTATTTAAAAGATAATCAAACCTTTATGTGAGTATAATATATATATATATGTAAGGGATCATATGAGAATGATCTCTAGTGAAAGAAATAAGAAAGGTTATGGACCATTGGATCATGTATATCAATGGACTTCATGAAGTCAAAATTAAATCAACAGGTCAAACTTGTAATGGCAAATATGTAAATATGTTATTATATCATGTGCAAA